GGAAAGCATCCGCCAGTTTGTGCCTGAGAGTGTGGCGTGCCTGGACAGAGAGAGTGTCAGCGGGAGCTCTGTCAGCAGCACGGCTAGCCATTATACTGAAAGTCTGGGGAGTGGAGAGACGGGCGGCCCCTCAGCTGTGAAGCAGACCTTCCAGCAGCCTGCTGCTCAGAAGCACGACTACTCATCTTCTCATAACGTGTCTATGTCTCAGATGCAACCCCAAGACTTAGCTCATGCACATCTTAAGACTAGTGCAGTTGCTCCAATGCCGGCGAGCATTCAGCCGCAGCAGCCGCCGGCAACTATGGGAGGACTACAGACCACAATTGGGCATTCAACTGCAGCCGTGCCCCCTCATATGCCCAAACTGACATACGCCCAGGCAGCACAGTCCCCCCCTGCTCAAGCCCTGCCTGTGGTGACCCAGCTGGTGTGATTGTGTTTGGATGAAGGACAGTAGGACTACCTTTTTGTGAAGGGCAATGTGGTGTAGATCATGAGGCCACTTATACAGGATGAGATCATTCAGTTTTCTCGCATTTTGCTCTTGCTCAATAGCAGATGAAGTCAGCGCAAATGATTTTAATCAGTTTTTTTTGCTGTTCTTAGGTCACAGTGTTGACTAGCAGCCTCGTATAGAAAGATTATCATCTCACATTTGCTTTTTTTCAATGTAATCTGCTCTTGGCAGTGATAAAAGCCACACATGAGAGTCTCAATGAATCACTCATTGTGTAGAGATCAAGTAGATTATCTCTCCAATTAATGACCCTGTCGAATGGGAGAGGAGAGGAAATGCTTTCACTCGGCCAGATCGGGCTAGAGAGAATAACGTGGCAGAACTTAAAGCAGCAGTACATGTGCGCTTTCTCTCTCTTGGTCCCTCAGTGATATTCATTTTCACTGCTCTTCCCGTCTCTATTACTATGGTTTACTCACCCCTTTATGATTTTTTTTTTATTTATAGATGGACGGATGCTGAAGTGCAGGCACTTGTAGCAAATGTAGCACTGCCAGTTGTCGTTGGAGATTCTTAGTCCTTAATCCTTTCCGTTCTTTCAATCACTTTACGTATACGTCGACTTTCCATGTCCATTATTGAGAAACCCGCGAGACGCAACAAAAACACAGCTCCGATCACAGCGTCCTCCATCCTCCTGTTGTTAATGTTGTTCTTCTTTGTTTCTGTTGTTGAACGCTGCGCACAAATGACGTCGCTGTCGACCAGCTTGCGTCACATCTTAGTACATACTGTCGGTGTGAATGCAACCCTTTAAATGGTACTGGGAAATAGTTCGCGCAAAATCGTCCCAGTACTTTAGTACCATACATTTAGTTCTGGAACTAAAGCGGTGCGAAAGGGCCTATTGAGTGTTTGAGTGTTGATGGTACTGTCAAGCTCCAATAGGGGGGTGTTAATTTGGTGTCATAAGGTGTTAATTTGGTGCTATGGTCTGGGTCCTCTGAAGCCATACAATATACTTCAAGAACAGACTGAAATTTAAGGCTTTTACTGAAATGCTCATGAGAACATATGATATTTGCCCTCAATGACGCGACACCTTTGGATGAGTTGCACATTACAAATGAAACTATGGCTAGTTTTTTATTTTTTTATGTTGAACAAAAATGACATTGTAGGGCCCTATGAAATCCTTTTCCCCTCAAAAAAATTAGTTTTCAGTTTTAATTTTTTCAGTTCTGTTTTAAGTTTTATTCTGTATTCTGATTTCAGTGTGCATGTAGATTTTTTTTAAATCAAATTAAACCCTTTGGCTAACTGCTAGTTGGTCAGACTAGTTAAGACCGTGTCTTAACATAGAGGCTACGTTTGTGCAACTAGCCCCTGGAGATGAAATTCATATGAAGTATATAGTGAGAGAGTTGATGCTGAAAACACCACGAGCATCACGCTTGCTTCAGTATGCGTGTAGTAGACGAAACCACGCCATTCACAAAGAAACATGCAGATGTCAAGTCTTCAATGTGCTTCAATATTAATTAAGTGTACAGCACTACTTTTTACGAATTCATCAAAAATTTGCAACATTTTCGATTTAAACTGTAAATTAAATTATGACTGGATTCTGCATTTCTGTCTGGGTTTTTCCTGCATCATGAAAATCATAGGGCCCTAATAAAAATTTACATTTCTGATTGTTCTTCACACTGAGCCATCGTATGGCTTCCGAAAATTTGAAATATGAAGCATAAGCTGTATCATGTTTATATGCGCTTTTATTATATTATTTATATTGAAACTTGATATAAATCAAGATACATTTTTTAATGCAAAAGAACTGCTCAGACATTCTGACTAGCATCTTTTTGTTTTTCATGGATGGGTAACAATAATATGGGCTGGAATGATATGAGGGGGTGAGTAAATGACAATGTTCATTTTCGGGACAAACATTCCCTTTAATGTGGTTTTTAGCCACATCATTATCAAACATCAGAAGAGTCATTCTGCATCTGTAATTCAAGATGAGATCCTGTACTTTGAAGTCTTTTTTAGACCAGAGAAGGCTCTTTATGTACACATCTCTCTTTTAGGATTATGTCATTTGGATTAGAACCTGTCCTTCCAAACCTGAGAGCAGAGAGCACAGCAAAGTACTTTAGGGACTGAAAGCTAATAGGGGCAGAGACCTCATGAGCTCAGCTGAACTGGTTCCTCAGACACATTCACAACAGGTGTTTGCGCTGGTCTCAACTCTTTTCAGGTTTGAAATCTGCTGGCTTTCGTATTCTTTCCCAGATGTGACAGCATATGATCCCCGAACACTTTTCTGCTTCCTACATCTGCTAATTGCCATTGTTTTTCTCTGATAAATCTATAATCATTTTCTAAACCACATTAGGCATTTCATATTGCCTGTTAAAATTAACACTGTAGTTATGAAATTACAAAATCACATCTGTTGGAACTGTTGTTGAATGTTTCTTTGGCTAT